CAAGCGCGCAATGACGCCTCGTCGGCCTCAACGAGGCACCCGCGAGGCCACACAAAGTCGTCCTGCTCAGCCTTGGCAACGCGGGCGCAGATGGACCGCACGACACTAGTGATGCGCTGGGCTGCATTCTTCGATATCCCCCCCTGCACAGCCATTTCGTCCGACGACTCGTAGCCCGAGGCATGCTGGGTTGCTGCATGGGCGATGGCGAGGAGGGTGCGGGTGGTGTTCACGGAGCCCTTGTTGAACAACTCCTTCAGAGGGCCCTTCGGGACGAGGTTCGACTCGCGCCTCTTGATGGGCGAACAACGCACGCCCATGCCCGTACAACGCGCACCCATGGGCTCCCCCTCCCCACCCTCCGTCTATCCCGTGGGTATGGGCGTGCTTTGTTCGCTCATCGCCTCTGGCAATCCCAATTGGAACAGCGCCAAATCGGATAATCCATTTGAGGTATGCTGAAGCCCGCCACCTGGATGTCCCTGTCCGACTGGCCGCCCCGAAGCTTCAACTCCATTGTGCCGCACTGGCACGCCGTGCACTCGCCCCCCAGATCTGGTAGCACCCCGATCTCTATCATGATACGCGCGAGGAGCTCGGGACTGATGCGCGCCACGTCGACCACGGCGATCCTCTTGGATATAGGTAGCGCGGCGAGAGAAGGGCGATCAGCTTGTTTCTGATTCGGAGGAATGTAGGATGGACCAGGAGCCTCTATTTTAGTTGCCGCCCTACCCTTCTTCATCATCGACTTCTTGCTGATGCGGCTCCCCTTCGTCAACGACACCCTGCGAATGCCAGACAACTTCTTAGAATGGAGAGTCGCGCAAGCGGGCTTCCGTTTCAACGAAGCCTGCTGCACGCGGTGCGCACGCTTGTGCTTGTCCGCCTGGGAGGCCTTGCCACCATGAGGCATGATTGACGAGGCGAACGGCAATGGGAGTGGCGAGGCTGCAATCCAAAGCCAAAGTTTGAACCAAAGTGCTACGGACCGAACACCATGACCGGCAAACACATGGACTACAATTGCGACCGCGCGCAGTCGCAACTTTGACCGCGGCAAAAGTAAACAAGCGTTGTTGGCCTTTTTTCAGTAGAGCATGGCCATCGCAACGCCCTGCCCCGTTCACAGGCGCTGCCCCCCGTCCCCGATATGCACAAATTAGGTCTCGTGTGTCCCCGACGGCGCCCGCACGGTTGCGCCTCGCTGGGGGCGAGGGTCGGGGAATCATCATGCGCACTGCTGCATCGTGCGCATCGCCATCACGGCGGAGGCGGCGAAGGCGCAGCGCTGGCGCCGCCTACTGCCTACTCAGGCACCCCGAACCTGCCGCCAATTGCATTCCTCGGCACGCACGCCCTCAGGCATGATATGCCACGAGACGTGGCCCGTGTGGCAGGCGCGCACATCACCGTCGAACACGATGAATCCTCCGAGGAAGACGAGAACGGCCACGGCGTGCCCCGTCACCCCAGGCGCAGAGCCGTACGATGCGATGTAGCGGCCTGTGGGCACGGCGCAAGCTCCGCGGATGGACGCACGGGCGATCACGCACCCGTCTCCAGCGATCATGGCCTCGGCATCGTTGATGCTGAACGGCCCATCCTGGGCGTGCGGAACGTTGAATCCGAGGGCGTTCAGGGCGTCGACCATGCAACAGTTCTTGAAACCTGCACCGAAGAGGCCGTCGCCCGTGCCATGGGGCGCCTCTTCGTCGCTGTCATCGATGATCAGCGGCGGGCCGCCCGAGGGCGCCAGTTTGGCGAAGACGCCTCGCTCCAACTTGACGGGGCGAAGATTACCGCTGTCCGAGGCCGCCCCTGGTCGCGCGGGGGCGGGCATGCCCGCCTCCGCTTCCGCTTGCTCTGACATGATCCCCAACGCTGCCGCGGCCTCCTCGTCGGCATCGGCGGCATCGAACACGGCGCGCGCGCCGCGCCGATGGTGAGTCCTCGCTGGAAGCGCCGTCCAAAAAAGAAAACAAAAAACCTGTCCAGAAACCAAAAAAACAAACACATACAAACAAAAAAGTAACAAAAAAAAAAAAAGACACAATAAACAAAAAATAAAAAAAAGCCGTCCCAACACAACACGATAAAGTCGAATGACTCGAGGACAAGACGCAAAAAGCTTATGAAGCTCTTCGCGGCCTTCTTGGGAGGGCTCAAGAGGTCGATGCTCTCGCGGTCGTGCGCCCTCGCCAAACCGCCCAGGTACTTGGCCATCTCGCGGTCCCTGTCGACCTTGTCCTGTGAGTCCACTGGGCAGCCGCCGCGCGGAAGGGCCGCGCGCGGCGGCGCATCTGTGCACTCGCCCATCAGAGGGGGAGGGGCCGCGCGCGTCGGCGCCTCCGCTCCCTCGCCCATCGGAGGGTAGAAGAAGCGGTCTGGCGCCTGGGCGTCGAACAGCGTTGGGCCTCGCACTGTGACGGCTGGCTGCACTGCCTCGCCTCTTGCAAGCCTCCGCATGAATGCCTGGCCCCACTTGAAGTCGATCTCGAAGTTAGGCGGCTTGTACGTCTGGTCCTTCTTGTACTTCTTCATGGTGTCTCTGCTGTCGGGCACGAACAGGTCGGGCTGGGCTGGGTTCGGCCAGGCAAAAAACGGCACCGACTCCTTGTCCGTGGAAGCCAGGCGGAAGTAAATGCGCTTGTCCGACAGGAGGACAACGTGGCTCCTCGCAAGGTACGCCTCCGCGTCTGCCATCTCGAACGACCCCCGCGCGTCGCGGGGAAAGTTCGCCTGGATAATGCGGACGAAATCGTCAAAGGAGATTGCCTCGGCTCCAGGCCGAACGGGCTGGACGCGGGCCTCAAAATCCTTGTCGTGGGCGTTCGCGCAGGATTGCCGCGCCTGGTTCATCATGAACTGCGCGCCGCCCCATCGAGCCCAGAGCAAGGCGTCCTCTTCGGCCGGGTCGTGGAACGCCTTGACGTCGTCTGTGCCCCACTTCGACATCACCGTGTCGTCGGCAATCGCGGGCTTGAAGAGGCTCCCTGGCTCGAGGCGAAAGAAATCAATCCTCTTGGAGGTGACGACGCTCGGCTTCAGGTCAGAGCGGCCGTGCTTGTCGATCTGGCAAGCCGAGATGGCGAAGCAGGTCGTCTTAGAAGCGGACGACTTCCCGACGCGAGTCTCCCCGATCCACATGATCGAATGTACATCGTGAGTGCGCAGTGCGGGGGCAATGATGTTGTTCAGGATCGTCGGATGGAACTGCCTCAAAGTGTGGCACCACGACATCAACGTCCGCGCGCCCACGGTGCCGTTGGCGTACTTCCGCAAGCTCTCCTGCGAGGCTGCCAAACGGACGCGCGCCCGAGCACCTCCCCTCAAGCTGGCGCGACGATCAGGTCTGCGCCCAGCGCGAAGGGGACGCGCTCTACGCCGCGCGTCCGTTTAGCCGCCTGGTCCTTGACATCCCCAGGCGTCCACCCGAAGATCGGACTGCTCTCGAGGTGGATCTGATCATCCGTCCACTCGACGAATTGGTTCTGGGCATTGCTCCGTGGTCCATGATCGCGAATGAAGGCGTAAACAGCCGTTCGAGCAATCCTGTCGTAAGTGCCCGCTTCAGCTGCCTTCTTCACGGACGGCTGCACGAAGTATCGGCACTGCACGCCCCCAAGGCGGCCCATCATGAAGTGGAACAACTTGCGAACCTTCTTCGTGTCAGAAGTGCGGCCCCAGTGGATCGTCAGCGGCGTGCCCACGATGAACACATCTTTCACCAAGTCCACGCGAATACTGTCGTCGAACTTGATATACTTCAGCACAGACTGCACCCCATCAGGGTCGGTGGGCAGAACGTAGATCTGCATTGTGAACGCCAGCTCTCCCGTGTCCTTCTTCGGCTTGAACGGAGACGGCAAGGGCGCGTAGTCGCCGCGGCGCATGATGTCGACCATGTCCACAGCACTTGTGTCGGGAAGCTCCTGGCACTCCGTTCCAATCTTGATCCAATCCACGACGTGCTTCACTTTTACCACGTTGTCGATGTCTCTCAGTGGCATGTCTCGGAGACGATAGCAACCAGGCGGGTCTGATTCGAAGCGCGTGGGCTTCTCGAGCCGACTGTGCGGGTTCAGAGTGTCCATGCAGCCCCAGGCCTGCGCGACCTGCTCGGTGGCGGACTCGTCCCCCGCGATCATCTCTCCCAGAGACTTGACGCCCCCCGCCACGAGGTTCGCCATGATCGCAACGAGACGCGATGCAACGTTGACTGCGAGGCGCACCTGTGGTCTTGAGCCAACGCAAAGCTGCGGGCTACAGCAATGGGAAAAGATAACGGACTGGGGCATCCAAAATCTGGATCCCCCCAATCAGCGGGCTCTCTCTCTCTCTCTCTCTCTCTGTCGCTGTCGCCGTCCCTGTCTCTTTCTCTGTCTCTGTCTTTGTCTCTGCGTCTGCCTCTCTCTCTCTCTCACTCTCTCTCTCTCTCTCTCTCTCTCTCTCTCTCTCTCTCTCTCTCTCTCTATCTCTCTATCTCTATCTCTCTCTCTCTCTCTCTCTCTCTCTCTCTCTCTCTCTCTCTCTCTCTCTCTCTCTCTCTCTCTCTCTCTCTCTCTCTCTCTCTCTCTCTCTCCCTCTCTCTCTCTCTCTCTCTCTCTCTCTCTCTCTCCTTCTGCGGGTGTGTGTTTTTTGGCTGTCGCTCCAAAGGCCAGGGCGGGGCTGCTAGTCGAGGCCGCGCGCGGCGCACGTCAGCCCAAGTCGTTGGCGTGGCCGCGGGGCGGGCCGTGGCGCGCCAAGCGCGCCACTTTCTTGGCCGCCCAAGGAGGCAAGTGGTACTTCATGTGCACCTGGAGAGTCCGCCACCCGCTCTCCCAAGGAGCTGTGGCCTCCTCGAGCGCCTTCTCGGCCTTCTCGGTCGCCTTCTTGGCCTTCTGAAGCTTTCCCTCCGTCTTCTCCAAGGAAGCCTGCGTCTCGCGCAGCTCCGCCCGCGCGTCCTTGAGGGCGGTCGTCTTCTGCTTGAGCTGCTCCTTGCAGTGGTTGGCAACCGCCTCTGCCGCGGCGGCTTTGTGTTGGGCGGTGTACATATTCCTGTAGTGCTGGTTGGAGCGGCGTGACCGCGCGTCCAGGACGCTCTCAAGGTCGCGCAATTTGTCCACCAAGGGTTTGCGAGCTGCGGCGCGCGCCCCCCTCACCAGCTTGGCCACAGCTGGTTTGTTGCCGAGGTAGTGATCTCTCTTCGCGGCCCTGCGTACCTTGTTGCTGTGCAGCTTCTTCTCGTAAGCGGGTGTCCCCTTCTTTGGGTTCCCCATGGTGTCGCGAAGCACGGAGCGCGGAACCAATCAAACCTTGAGCCAAAGCGGTTACGGATGGTCGAAGCTCGCTCGTGCCGCATCCGCTGGGGGGCTCTGTCATTCGGTCGGAGGGTTAGCAAACACTGTAAAAAACATGTGTTCCAGGTCGGAGGGTCAGCAAACACTGTAAAACACAGGTTTCTCAGGTTTTTCAGGTTTTTGCGCATCCATCCACCTGGGAGCGCATAGATCCCCCAAAACCTGAAAAACCGGTGTTTTGCTGTGGTTTCTCGGCCTCTGACCTGACAAAACCTGTAAAAAAACATGTTTTTCAGGCCGGAGGGTTGGCAAACACTGTAAAACAACATGTTTTCAGGTTTTTTTCATGTTTTTGCGCATCTTTCCACCTGGGCGCGCATAGATCCCCCAAAACCTGAAAAACCTGAAAAACATGTGTTTTGCAATGGTTTCTCAGCCTCTGACCTGAAAAACCTGTTTTTTACAAGAGATTCTCTACCTCTGGCTTGACAGGAGGCGCCACGAGCGCAATCGAAAGGACGAACTGAATTGATCAGGCACTCTCCTCCTCCTCCCCCTCATCATTCTTCCTCCTCCTTCTCCCCCTCCCCCTCCCTCCTCCTCCTCCCTCGTGGTTGGGATGTTCGCCCCACGAGGGCTCTCGAGGGTTAAAACTGAGGGGCCCTCGTGTCGTCGTTTTCCCCCGCCGTCGCGGGGGTATTTTGCTGCCAGTCCTGGCTGGTAGAGGGCTGGGGGAGGTCCCCGCGAGTCCGCCTTTGTTTTGGAATGGTGGAGTCGCTCTATACTGTTCCTCTTCTTCAGGCAGGTCTCGTTCGAAGCCTGAGGTGGGGCCGCCCTGGCCCCCAGCTTAGCCGCCGCGTGTTCGGGCCTCGGACGCGCGCGCCACGCCTCGTACCCTCGTACCCTATCCTCCTCCTCTTCCTCCTCCTCTTCCTCCTCTTCTTTCTTCCTCGACGCCAAGTTGGAAAACGCTGAAACCGCCCAGGCGCCAAAAACAACCAAAAACGCCCAGGCCTACATCGGGTCTGGCGCCCCTCCGAAAGCAGCTCCTCCTGCTCCTCCTGTTTCCCTCCTCCTCCCCCTCCTCCTCCTCCTCTCCTCTTCCTCCCCTCCTCCTCCTCCTCTCCTCCTCTCCTCCCCCTCCCTCTTCCCTCCTCCTCTCCTCCTCCTCCCCTCCTTTCCTCCCTCTTCTCTTCCTCTCCTTCTCCTTCTCCTTCTCCTTATCCTTTCCTTCTCCTTCTCCTTTCCTTCTCCTTCCATTCCTCTCCCCTTCCTCCTCCTCCCTCCTCCCCGTCTTCTCCTCCTCTCCTCATCCTCCTCCTCCTCCGCTCATCACTTCCCCCTTCTACTTCTCCTTCCCTCCCTTCCCTTCCTCCTCCTCCTCCTCCTCCTCCTCCTCCTCCTCCACCTTTCCCTCACGTCTGAGCGGCGTGAAAAAGATGCACGGCGGGAGCTTCTGATACAGCGGGGGCCACCAGGGGGCGTTCCACGACCGATCGAGCTCGGAGAGCCGCATGCCAGGGTGGCGTCGACAGGCTTCTCATCCTTCCGACCTCCACTCTGGAAGCCTGACTCCTGCCTTCGACTTTTGTGCTGCTCACAAATCGAAGGGGGGCAGGAGCCTTTGTGTCATCCAGCTCCTCCTCCTCCTCCTCCTCCTCTCCTCTCTCCTCCTCCTACCTCTCGTCCTCTCTCCCCTCCTCCTCTCCTCCTCTCCTCCCCCTCTAGAGCTTGAGTCATCAGGGTATGGGAAGCGCAGGGGGGAAGTGGAGAGGCGGCAGGGCCGGATCGACATCGTAAGCGCTGCGTCGCTGCGGGTTCAACCAGCGGGTTGGTCAATGGCTGGCGTATATCGTACCCCGCTTTGAAGCCCTCTGAAGCCCCAGTGAAGCCAAACTGATTCAAATGACTTCTCCTTCTTCTCCTCCTCCTCCTCCTCGTCCTCCTCGTCCTCCTCCTATCTCCTCCTCCTCCTCCTCCTCCCCCTCCTCCTCCCCTCCTAGTCGAACTTTTCCTCATGCTCCCTCTCCTATTCCTCCTTTTGCGACGCCTAGGGAGACCTCCGTGCTGAGGTTGCGTCTCACAAGCTCTTCCTCGAATTTGACGTTCGGGCCTATATGTTTCCTCCACTTGTGGAGCACCTTCGTGCTGCGCTTTGGGACGATCGACACCACCTTGCCCGACTTTTGGCCCAGCCGGCCCACCCGCCCAGCCGCGT